CATGTAACTATTTTATGTATACACATGAACACAGAAATACCAACATTTTCAGTAATTCCATAAAATCTCTGTAGCCACTCAGCCTTCTCTGGTGTTTGTGTGTGTGTGTGTGTGTGTGTGTGTGTGTGTGTGTGTGTGTGTGTGTGTGGTGGGGGTTTCCACAGAAATTAGCAGGGCGGCACTAATAGTCACTGATGACAATGGGGCTCCAGAGCTGAACCCAGCTCTAGGGGCTTCCAGGGCAGGAGGATTCTGGGTGGAGACCCAGGTTGGGGAACCCAAGGCCCAACTGCCACATGCCGTCTCTTAGGAGGAAGTGTTGTGCTGGGCTGGGAAGACGGGCTGTCTTGTGCAGGCAGGCGGGAAAGGAGCACAGGCTGAATGTTGATGCAGTCTCCCAACATCTGGCCGGCATCTTGTCTGCCTCTCAGGCCCAAGCAACTTACCTTAAATAGAACGATTTACAATGGAATCCGATAAAAGGTTCAGGCTGCTGCACGCCCCCTCTCCTGCTTGGAGAAGGCAGGGAGGCTCGGTTTAGATTCTGACCCAAAAAAGTGACCTACCCAGGAAGCAACGGTTTGGAGCACAGCTGCTGCGGGTAACTGTCCCTGGGGGTAGTTTATGAGCAGACACCCAATTCCGTGCCCAGCAGACGCAGTGGGGTGGCCCTTGGGAGGGGTGGGGGCAGGGTTGGTGACTCCATGGGTCACGCCTGCTGTGCAGGGAGACAGTCACCCACTGGCGTCCTGGGAGAGGGGGCAGAAGTTTTGAATTGTCAGCAACTGCTGCGCCAGCCACACTGAGCTCATCGTTGGAGGTGGGGATGCAGGGGAGGGGGCGAGGAGCCTGCTCACCCTGCAGAGCCCCTCCGCCCCACCCTCCTGCTCAGGCCTGTGTTTAGTCAGCACTTGGCTGCCCGAGGCCGGTGACTGACAGGCAGCCAGACGCCTGCCCTGGCAGAAGACAAAATGGTGGTGTCGGGAGCCGCCCTTGCTATGGAATTGGAAGGAAGGAATGTGGTTCTGGGAAGCAAGACGCCTGTGCTTGGATTCTGGCACTGCCACTTGGGAGCTGTGACCCTGTGCATGTCGCCTCACCTCTTTAGGATAATCCTGAGAATGCACATTTACTGAATGCCCAATACCTGCCAAAGGCTGCATGTACTTCATTTAATTGAGGGTCCCAAGTTTCACACAAGAAACAGATTCACAGAGGTATATGATCACATCACTGGCCAGAAGCAGCCCACACCCTGTCCACCGTACGATTTACGCAGCATCTCGGGTGCTTACTATGGTGGGGGCATGTTCAGGATTTCTGTTACCAGCCTCACTGCATGGTGCCTGGTTTTACAGGTGCAATAACAGGTGGGGCTGGGGCCAGGGAGATGGCTCAGAGGAATAACAGGTGGGGTTTATTTTTACTTTTTGAAATCAAGCAAACTACAGGGAAGGCCTTTGACTTTTGGAGGGGAAATAGCCTGCACCCACTGCTCCCTGGGAACAAAGCGGACTCCGAGTTATGGGCCAGGGCTTTGCAACAACACCCTACCCAATACATACTCAACTGGATGCTCAACTGATGCATGTTTTTGTACACAGAGGGTGTGAGTGGCACACAACCCAGGCCCAGGGACACATTGTGCACAGACACTGCCCGTGTATAAACAAGGACAAAAATCCGCATACAGTTACAGGAACACATAATTGCAGGCAAACCTCACGAAGTCCTCCAGAGCTGCCCCTCCCTGCTCCCTGCCTCTGCCAGTTGCTCACTGCCCCCTCCTGGCCGCCTGGTGGCCAGGGCAACCTGGCACCATTTCCTAAAGCTTGCTGGAGGTGGGCTGTAGCCAGTTCCCTCCAGTCTTAAGCAGTTTTAAGTGCTGCCCCAAAACCTTAGAGGGTGAGGGTCTAGAAGGGGGTCTTAAATTTAAGGATGGAACACTTTTTAATGCCCCAAGATATTTTTCAAAGAATTTTTGGTCTCGTGAATGGTTGGGCAGACACCCACTCCAGCCAGCAGCCACCCCAGACCCACCGAGGGCACCGAGCACACGTGTGCTTGTGCTCTCGCACACCTTGCAGAGGAGCAGCCTTGGCTGAGCTGAGAGGCAGGCTCTTCTATCTTGCTGTTTCTTCTCTGGGCCTTGGCTTTCACAACCTGTTGAGCAGGGAGTTGATGTAATGATGGGAGGGGCCCCTCCACTCTAGTGTCTCAGGAGCTGACACTACACTGTGCGTGCGTGCGTGTGTGTGTGTGTGTGTGTGTGTGTGTAGAGCACAGCCAGGAACATGGCTATAGACTTTGGGAGAGAGTTGGAAAGATTCAACACAAGGCCTTTTATTCCTATTTTACAGATGAGGACATGAGGCACAGAAAGGCACAGCAACTTGCCCCAAATAGCCCAGCAAGCTAGCCACAGTAAAAACCTTTCTAGTACCACAGATAACAAAATATCTGGGCTTGGGCCCAGAACTGAGGGGACTTGGAGCTATAAGGGCTAACATCAGTGGCTCTGCTCTTCGGTTTGCCAAAAACCTCATGAGGTCTCTGGCTGCCTGAAGGCTTGGGAGTTGCCCACAGATCTAGGCTTGGACCTTCAGCATGCAGCCTCAGAAAAGGCAACTTAGGGGCCAGGGAGATGGCTCAGTGGAATCAGCACTCCCCTAGCAAGCGCAAGGGTCTGAGTTCAATTCCCGGTTCTGCCAAAAAAAAAAAAAAGAAAAGGCAACTTAGGACCTGCATGGCTTCTCCCACTTTCTAGCCCCACAAACAGGCTGAGCAAATACCCAGCTTGCTTGCTTGTTTGCTTTTGCGAATGTGTGTGTGGTATCAGAGATTAAACTCAGGGCCCTCACACTGAGCTACTCCCATAGCCCTTTTAAAATTTTTATTTTATTTTATTTTTTGCGGAATCGGGGATTGAACTCAGATTCTTGCGTTTGTCAGTCAAGCGCTTATCCTAGTGAGCCATCTCTCTGGCCCCCAGCCCTTTAAAATTTTTAAATATTGAA